GGGGCAAAGGTAAGGCACCAAGCTCTTTCCTGTTCATTTGCCCTTTCGAGTAGAAGGCTCATTAGATTCTTTTGAAAATTATGTTGAAATTCAACAGATTTTTTGCAAGTAATCTCATATCAGTTTATGTCCCTTTTCTTTCTCAGAGAGCACCAAGAACAATTCATTCTATTCAGGAATAGCAGTTGCAAATGAAGGAAAAACATGTATCCTGATCAAGTTGACACATGCATGACTCAGTGGAAGCCTGTCAACCTGTTAAATTGAGACGACCAGAAGTTAGTTGCAAGAGAAAAACAAATAGTGAGAATTAGGCAACTGCTTATATATACAAAATATTTTTTTTTTTCAGAAAACAAAATTTCTGCGCTAAGATGTCAAGGGCAGCTACATCAGCTTCAAAATGAGTCAAGAATCTATCTTTGTCCATCTTTCTATGTCGCTGTCCATAACCTAATTTTTCTGCCTCATAGTTACAAAGTTGTGGCTGATGCTCCCAGCCACCAGCTAGGAGGATTGCAAAATGGCTTCCTTCCTAGAAATTCCAGCCAACTTCCAAATCAATCTCTTTGGCCAAAGAGATCATATGCCACATGTCCACCTCTTGCTGTAAGGTAATCTGAGGAATAGAGTATTTTAGTAGCAAAATTGAAGTTCTGTCAACAAGGAAGAAGGAAGGAATAAATATTGGGTAAATGACTAGCAGCATCTACCAAGTGACAAACTAGGAAGTATTAACTATTCTAGCTTTGATAAATTGTATTTGCCTTCCTTTATTAGCTATTGTTGCATGGTGGATTATTGAAGCCAATGAATGGACTTAAATATCATTCAAGTTTTAAGGGTGAGACAAAAGGCCCACATTTCTTCCACTATACTCTGATTATTTTCCCCAAAGCCCAAATGTCTCCATTCCTCACTGCTATGCCCCATGCCTTTATGTCCAAAGTGTTCAGTCATAGCCCAATGAAATCTATACCCTTCAAATGGTTAAAACCAGAGTTCCTAAAACATTCACCTGTAGGTGATTAGCTAAAGCAATCTGAACACGCAAGATATTTCACTGCCTGCCACATAACAGTTTCTCCAGCCCCAGCCCCTGTAAAAATAAAATATCTTCAATGGAAGCCAACTCATTACCCCATAAAATTACTACAACACATGTGCTTGAAAATGTAAGACAGATATTCTTAACTTGGCATGCCACAGTGAACCACAGAAATGCTCTCCAAGAAATGATTTCATTTTGTTGGTTTTATATTTTAAGTCATATTTTTGGCAAGCAATCCCAAAGACAAAATTCTGAGAGCAAACTGGTCTATGGGATAGAACACAGACTTTCGGTTGCTTGCCTACATTTGTTTGAATAGTTTTCCTGTCCTTGTATATCTGACACATTGATCTGGGTGCCTGGCTCCATTCTTTCTAGTTGTAGACCTCCTTTTGCCATCATTCCTTTTACTCTCCATTCTGAGTATATTTTATTACTTTATCACACATATGTGGGGTTATAAAACAGCCCAGAGTTAAATTGACACTTAATGGTAGTATGACTTTAGACAAATTATATAACTTCCCTTTGCCTCAGTTTACTCACCTATAAAATAGGCATCACAATAACATCTACCTCATAAAGCTGTTATAAAAATTAAATGAGTTAATATATTAAAGTTCTTAGAACAGTGTCCAGCAGGTAGTGTTATAAAAGTGGTAGCTATTATTATTATCATCCAAGTACATAACAGGACATGACCTAAATTAGCCAGCTTAATGTCTCCCTGAAGTGAGCCTACGGAAACCAGAATAAAAGTGTTCTGATGTGCGGAAGGGACAGATACTCCCCAATATTGTACTAATATAAAGGACCCAGAAAGCTGAGTGATCACAGAAATCTACCTGGGATTCAAATTTACTATTTCCTCTGGATTCTTAGGGATTATAAAATTTTACACACTTGAAGACGTTCAGGGTTTATCTCGCACAATTCCTTTACTTTAAAATGAAAATCAGATGCATGAGTTAATATAGGGTTACATAAGTAAGAAGTGGATAACTAGTACTACATTAAGTTTTTCGAGCCCTGATGTAATGACTTTTTTTTCTATACCAAGACAAGTTAATTTCTTCATTCCCTCTCTGGTAAAGATGAGAAGATGAAGAGAAGAATAATCGGACATAGGTTATGAATCTCTGAAATATCTGCTAACAAAGAGGTCCATTCTAACTCAGGAATATTTACTTAACACAGCATCTTGAAATTTTAGAAATCTTTGTGGTTGGAGCTCTGTAGCTATTTATTCAGCTGATTATCTACTTCCATTTCTTACAATGACATGTGAAACATGTTTTATAACAGTGTATGTGCAGCCTGAAATCTTCAAGATACGCCCAAAAATGTCAGATTTAGGTTTTCCCATTTGGGTGCCAAATTTACAATCTTATCTTGTCCCTGCTCCCATCTTGTTGCCAGAGTACAGCCACTGATTTCAGAATAATATATTAGATATTATTCTAAATATACTATAAGGTATATATTCTAAATACACTGTAAGTTATATTATTGTCAATATACCATAAGGTATACTTATATAACATTTTAATTTCCCAAAGTGCCTTCATCATTTCACTTAACTCTCCCAGCAATTATCAGCAACCTCATCATCCCCACTTGATCAATAATAAAATCAGAAGTCAGAAAGGATTCAATAACTCTTCCAAGATCACATGAGTGAAGGAGAAGGCTGATTTTAAAAACAAAATAAACAAACAAAAGAGATCTTTTGAGTCATTCTCTTCCATTTATTCAATAGTATTTTACTAATGTTAAAGGGTGTTTTTTTTATGTGCATAAAGGATACAGTGGTTAAGCAAAAGTCACTTAAGGTCTTTGCTTTAGGTCTAGGTGAGTTAAGTTTCATTCTATTGCACAGTAAAACTATTTATTGTTATCAATGAGTTTGAAACTAGTCAAAAGGTAAAATATAACTAAGAGATAAAGTATAAGGAAATAAGAGTACATTAAGGTAACTTAATATAAAACAAAGTATAAATGTGCTGAGGTCAATGAAGTAGAGACCAGAATATCAGAACGGTGGAAATAACTAAGAAAGACCACCTGGAGAAGGTCAGGTTCACTGCTTCCCTTCCAGCCTTCCTGCCCTAGTCACTATACCTCTGAGCTTTAGTCACACCAGATTGTGTTCATTAGCACGCTCCCTGCAATTTCATCATGTCTTGGTATAGTTCCTGTTCCCTGTGCCTCTTTTCTAGTGCTCCTTTCTTTAAAAAAATTATTTAGATATCGTTTTATTCATCCTTCAAAGCCTAGCCCAAAAGTCCCCGAAACTGATAAAATTACTGTTTGTTAGGAACCTTCACCCAGTAACTTAGGCCTTCTGAGAATGTAAGAGACTTTAGGTAATAAAAAGGAAAAGTTAGTTAATAATAACTTGGCAAACTTTCTAATTCCTGTGAAATCAAGGTACTCTATAAGACAGAGTGATGTTGCAAGCTTATTCACTACTTCAAAAAATTTTATTAGGAACAAACTATTCTGTTTTTCTAAGTAAAAATCCACCATTGGCTAAGACAAGAACCATCCTCTGTGAAGCTTTAATTATAACAGCAAGACAGACAATATGTGTAGCTTAATGCAAATAAATATAAAACTTAAAATTGTGGTGAGTATAAAAACTTTAAAAGATAACAAGATTGTGTTTGAGGGTAATGCAGATATTTTGGTTGAATCCCCAGCACATATACCATCTTCTCTTGACAAAATAGCAACACTGTATGATTTGTGGAAAGGACTTCAGTGCAAAAGGTGATGACTCTTATATTTATGAATTAATCCCATTCACTTTATCAATGATTAGTCACAGCATATTCATGTGACTCAGTCCCAGTCAATGAAATATAAAACAAGTTTCCCACTGTCATCTAAGTTTTTATTTTTTATTTATTTTTTATTTTTAAGGAACAGCCTGGCCAGGTGGTGGTGACTCACGCCTGTAATCCTAGCACTCTGGGAGGCTGAGGTGGGAAGATCACTTGAGGCTAGGAGTTCAAGACCAGCCTGAGCAAGAATGAGACCATGTCTACAATGAAAATAGCAAAAATTAACCAGATGTGGTGGTATGTGCCCATAGTCCCAGCTGCTCGGGAAGCTAAGGCAGAAGGATCGATTGACCCCAGGAGTTTGAGGTTGCTGTGAGCTAGGCTGATGCCACCGTACTCTACCCAGGGTCATGGGGCAAGACTCTTTCTCTCAAAAAAAAAAAGGAACAACCATAGAAATTAAGAGTTTTATGGTGTCAACAAGGAGCCTCATGGCCCAGATTTCCCCTGCAACCATTTTACTACCATGATGTAAACCAGCATTAGGAGGAAGATGATGCTGTAGAAGCTGGAGTGAAAACAGGGAAAGAATTTGTTGAAGTACTAAGTCAATCACCTGAAACTCACCTCACCTCAAGACTTGCTCTCCTATGATCTAATGTTTCTTATTGTTTAAGCAAACTTAAACCACATTTACTTGTACCTGGAAATACATGGCACAGAAGGCTAGGTGGTCAGGTAAGACCTCCATAAAAAGGGGGCATTTGAACTCAAACCTAAATGATAAGAAGCAGATAACTGGCCAAATATCTGGATGATTTGTAAACAGCCGGGATAAAGACCCTAAGGAGGAAAGAAATAACTGTTATAATTTCTAGGGAAAGAAGAGAAGCCAGTGTGGCTGGCAAAGAGTGAACAAAGGGGAGAATGGGATGAGAACAGATTGAAAGATAGACAAGAGTGAGAGTAAGGGTTTTAACTAAGGCTTACATAGAATCACAATATCCCTTCTTTGAAAGGTTTAGCAGGCATGGAATTTTTTGATACTCATTCTTTCTGAAGTCATAAACGTTTCATGATATTCAATGTAAAGAACACCTCAAATATTCTCTAGCTCCTCAGCTTTTCTGGAACTAAGACTCAAGTCTTAAATGTGAAGATCCTAAATTGTGCAATTCTGATAGAACATTGGGGAATATACACCCTTTTTAAGGTTATAAATATCCAAGAATATGGGCAGAAAAGTTGTGATTTTAAAGAATATGTTGAAAGACAAATGAAAAGGGGAAAGAGAAAGTCAATATCCAGACTTATGAACATACAAACAATTCTACTTTAAGGTGATTTTCAAATATTCTGAGCTGAATGCAGAATAAGAAAAGTGTTAAACTGTCACTGCTTATCTTCGTGGTTTGTTTTATTATTACTTCTAAATCCTTAACATGTTGTAAAAATAACTGCTAATTTCTTTATATCATAACACTTATTTTTACTTATCCTAGTTTAAACCTGATTATTTTAGTTCTGTATGTCTGTATTTTCCAATAGATTTTAAGTTCCCAGAAGAGAGACAACTATAAAATCTCTTTTGAATATATTCATCATCTGACAGCTCTATCAATTTAATAGAAAGTATATTTTGATGAATTAATGGCTCCTTAATTGCCATCTAACACTGGCAGACAGAGATGCTAAGATTTCATTTTTCAATGATTGTGCCATACAGAATGCACACTAGGTAAGCTTATTCCAATAGTTTGTGATGAAATTTTACATAAAGGAAGGATTCTGTTTTAGTTTATGAATAATTACAATTTATTAACTATCTTAGAAATTTGGTATCTGAGTTTCTGAAACCAGAAGCAATTGCTCTAAATTGCAAACACCTAAAATTTGTACCCCCATGATATGCTGAAATAAAAAATAAATAAATAAATAAAAATAAAATATATTAAATAAAAAAAGTACTCTCTTTTATAATATTCTTTAAATATTGGTTTCCTCAAGGAATCAGTTTCTGGCACTCAAAATTTGGTTTTGATGTTCTTCCTATGCATTCTCAGAGCAACCTGAATTGTATGACTCAACCTGTGTAGTTCAGTCTTACTCTGGTAAATAGACAATATATCTTTGGTTGATTAATTAAGAAAAAATTGGTCTAGATAGGTTGGCTCACATCTGTAATCCCAGCACTTTGGGAGGTTAAGGAGGGAGGATTGCTTGAGGCCAAGAGCTCAAGACCACCCTAAGCAATATAGTGAGACCCCCATGTATACCAAAAGTAAGTAGATTAATTAATAAAATAGAAAAATTGCCATGCATGGTGGTACATACCTGTAGCCCCAGCTACTTGGAAGGCTGAGGCACAGTGATCACTTGAGCCCAGGAGTTTGAGACTGCAGTGAGTTGTGATGACTCCTCTGTACTCTAGACTGGGCAATAGAGCAAGACCCTGTCTCCAATAAAAAAGAAAAAGAAAAAGAAAAAATTGGTGACATCCAAGTGCCTCTCCACCTCCAAATTCCTATTAGGGAGTTAATCAATAAAATAATGTCTGCCATATGTTTTTGATAGAATAAATAAATCGATATGAATGTTATTGACTTTTGTAAAGTAGCATATATTGTGCCAAGAATATTCACACAGATTATTTTATTTCATCAAGACTTCTCCTACTAAACCTAGTGGTCCTTCCCTCATTCTTCTCCAGCTTGAGGAAATGTAAATTGAAACTCAAAATGATAAATCTGGGAATAAATATATTTTTGATATTGTCACTTATGCCCAATAAACTATTCATTGAGTCTAAAACTTCCTTGAGAGCAAGGAATTATTTATTTACAGTAGATTCTTTAGCCTCCTGCTATCATGCCCAGCATGCAAAAAATGCCAAATAAAAGACAAACTAAATTTAAGGAAGAAGGATCATCGCTCAAAATACTTAGCAGTAAGGCTATAAATATAAGAAAAAATAGTTTATTTTCTGGCCAAATTAAAACTTTGTTTGCTCAGACGTTTCTTTTCTTTAATTCCGCTTAATCAAGATTTTGCTGGGGAGAAAACTCATTAATTAAAATCAGATTCTCTTGCAGACTGTAATGTTTTTAGTTTCTCCTTTGTATTTTCATTAATAGTGCTAAAAATATCCTGTATTTGTCAATATATCATCAACATATATTTATATATTAAAAATGAAATATATTACCATGTTTATCTTGCTATTTTCTGGACATTTTAACAAGTAAACTTGATTCATCATCAAGCTTTTGACAGAAAATGTTCTTGCAGCCAGTAAATCTGGACTAGCTCCCACAATTAATTTCTGAGGCTTTATACCTGTCAAAGAGAAATTACAAATGACTTAATGTCTGGAAGAATGTCAATGTCCAGTCTACCATGATCTGCCAGTAAGCAACTTCAGTTCTTCTTCTCAGTTCCAAATAAGGTTAAAATGAAAAATTCTGGATTTACTCCTAAATGTTCACCATTTTCAGAGGGAAAAATTACTAAATTATTAAGGTCTCAGTTGGCTTCATAATGGATATATTTCAAAGTGTGTGTTCACTTTTATTTAAAATATTGCTTTACCTTTACAAATTTAACACACTTAAAAAAATCTTTTGAGAATGCAGGTTTAGATTTTTGTCATTGCAGTGCTACTTGACATCGAAAAATGTGGAATGAAAAGATTTTTGTCTGTTTCAAGAAATGAAGATATAAAAGGTGCTGCCATTTTTCCTGATTCATCATGTAGTTGCTTATACAGAGAGTAATGTATTCACCGTCAAACGTCTGTACTTCCATGTCAAATGGGCAATTCAATAAAAAGCAGAAGTGATTCCATGATTCAAATAAAGGACTTGCAGGTTTGAATCCTATATCAATCAGTTTCTGGAATTTCTTCTGAAATTTGAGCCAAGAATTCTGGGAAAATCATTTGTGATCTAAGTGATAAAAATAATATGTTGCTGTTGTTAGGGGTTTTTATTGTTGTTGTTGTTTGACAGATATCCTAGGTTTCCTGAGGGCCACAAAAGCAACCGATGTCACTATCACTACAGATTGAGATTCTGTAGACCTAACACCAGTCCAAAGGCCAGGGATTACACTGCTGAAGTATTCTCACTAGTTAAAGTGGCCATTTGTATATTTTCTTCAAGAATTGCAAAAAAGATTATTAAATAAATCTTCCCACAGAGGCTTTTGCTGTTGCTATCAGCCTGCATATCAGGGAAGCTATAGTCTCTGCATCTCCTAAAACATCTCAGTGTCCCACAATAGTAAGCTACTTCACCGCCCTCAGTCTCTCCAGATAGACAGTCACATGTCACAAAAGAATACTTCCAGGTATACACAGACAATGAAATCAAAGCTGTGACAATACCCACCCAACCCTCAACCACAGAATCATGGGCTTTAAGGGACTTCAGGGATCATCTATCTCAATTTTCATTTTATAGATGGAAAAGTCCAAGGATCCGATTTGTTTAAGACTTCTCTAAAATCATAGAGTTGATTAGTGGGCATGTCTTCTGGATTCTGGATTTGTTATTCCTGAATCTGTGTGCTTTAAGATCTTCTTGCCATTCTTGTGCTCTCCTGTGAAGGGCTGGCATCTCCCAGCCTCCTTTGTTAGGTGGCTTCTACTGGTTTAGGCCAGTGGGAGGCCCTGGTGGAAGACTGGAGGGCTAGAGGAAGGAAGAAGCCAAGAGCATCTTAACAATGTGCGTGAATGGTAATGCTATAATATCGCATCTTTTATCCGTAGGTATGATCAAGAAAACCAAGATTTAACCTTTCCATCACAGATGGGAAACTTCAGTGCTTTAAGGAGCTGATTAGGTCACATAAATGAATAGAGCAGACACAGTAGGCACCATGGAGAACATGTAGCTTATCTAAATAGCTCAGATTAGCATATAGCTCCAGATAGTTACTGCTGTATGAAAAAGCTGGCCTATGCTGATGACTTCCCTGAATTTTTCATTGAAATAAGACATTGTACATGAAATTGTACATGAATTGTATGTGAAATTTTCTTGTTTCTAAGTAATAAAGTACATTTCAATTTTTTAAAAATACTATGGGCCAAACACAACCTGACTGTGGGAAGAATCTGGAAAGCAGTTTATGATTCTGGCTTTAGAACAATAGCTCATCTGGGAAAGAAAAGTGCACTTAAATATTCACAAGTGTAGAGTTAAGATAATCACCTGAGCAGCTCCTCTTCTGCACTGCCCTCCACATCTAATACTTGGTTATTTCAAATAACCATTCTATGTTGCTAAACCATCTCAGCATAGTTGCTTAAATATTCTACTTCACTTGGTGTATTTAAATATGGACCAAGCATGATGGTGCAGAGTTTGTGGGAGTTAAAAGGGCAGCATTTGATAAAGATCATGAAACTGAGTTGCTAAGAAAGTAAACAAACCCTGTTGTAAGTGCATGGCATACCTTCAGTTATTATCTACAAATAAACCTTGATAATGAGGTTTGGGGTCCCTCTCAGTTGCATGTTGATGATAAATTCTCTGTGGAACTGACTCCAACCCATTAAGCAAGCTTGCTCCTGCCACCGTGGCTGTTAATTTGACAAGACACTGTCACATTAAGTAGAACAAACATGTTTTCGCCCAGTCGGCCATCCAGAACCGACATGGCTGTTACTCTAACAACTGGATATTGATTGGAATCACTCACCCCTTCCGACCCTCCACTGGGAGGAGGAAATCAAGCTCGGGCTGACTGAGGATTTGCCTCTTTGGCATACATGGGTAGCATGTTAAAGATAGCCACAAATTTTAAACCATTTAGCTCCTTGTCATGTTCATCCTTCAGACATTGTCTGGTTCTCATTTTCACCAGTGGGGCAATAGGCTTTCAATAAATCATTGTTTATTAAATTTATGAATCTACACATCCATCAGAGAGGGCTATTGTTTTAGCATTTACAACTTCATAAATGCAAACTATCAGAAGACACACAAAAGGATTTTATAAGAAGTCCAAAAAAGGAATAAAAAATTTAAAACCCCTTGAATTCTAAAAGGGAGGATTCAGTCTGCTTTCTCTTTTTCTTTTCTTTTTTTTTATGTGCAATTGAGAGACATCCACTTAGTTTTCAAATGACCAACCCACTTACCAAATATAATCTTAAAATTCTATAAATCAAATTCACTGAAAATAGAACTGATATTTTAGTCATTTTTAATCTTTAGCTATTTTAAACCTGTTTATTAATATGGGTACCTAATATTTAGCAAAGCTTGCTTTTCACCAGTAATTCATTTTTCATAGATGAAATTTAACATGTGAAATTACTGAGCTATCATTTACCAGTGCTTCCGTGTCAATTTAAGTAAGCATACTTTGTGCCCTGTGCTGTGCATTAAATTTCATTTTCATTATAGAATCTCATGGTTGAAAAAAACTTTAAAAGGACATTTAGTCAATTGTTCATTAGAGTCCCTTGTCTGCTCTGGAACATTCCCAAGAAGTGGGCATCCAATATTTGTTTGAACACCTTCAGTGAAGGTAAACTCATTATGACCATCCTGGAGTATTCTATTAAAAAGTTATTGTTTTACTTGGAAAAAATATACTGGCATAAAGCTTCCACTCATTGAACATAAATCCTCCAGTCATCTAGTATAGATCAAATTCCTTTGCTGCATGAAAGTCATTCAAATATTTGAAAATAGTAATGGTGTTCTCTTTCTGCATTCTCCAAGCTAAATGTCTCAGTTCTTTTAACTATTTCTCCTCTAGCAGCAGTCTGCAAACTGTGGGCTGAGGGCCACATCTGGCCTTTCATCTGTTTTTGTAAATAAGTTTTATTAGAATATGCCCAGTCCATTCATTTACATATTTTCTATAGCTGCTTTCATGCTACAACGACAGAATTGAGCAGCTCTGAGAGAGACTGTATAGCCCACACAGAGCCAAAAATATTCAATTATTCATCCTTTAAAAAAAAAAACAACTTTGTTAATCCCTGTCCATGCCAAGGTGATTCAAGGCCCCTCATCATTTTTATGCTTAATGTCTTTCAGCTTTTTACTACTCCTCTAACACTGTGACCCCCAAAACTTGAGAAGCCTGTGTCGCTTGTTCTAGATACTCTTTCTACTAATGGAGAAAAAAGAAATGCTTTGACAACAAAAATTCCCCTTCATAAAGCACAAAGAAATTCTCAGTTAAATCACTGAGATTAGCCTGGTTTATGGTAGAAAAGCTATAGTTTTTTATTGTTTTCTCCAAGTCTATGCTTATTTTAATATTTCATTGCTGCTTTAAAATATACTTTTGAGTACCTGTTATTGAATAGCATTGTTCTAGACACTGTATCGAATGCTAAATAAGACAAAGTCCTTTCCTGAAAGAGTTTGCATGTGATTGTATAGAGGAAAATATGTATGAATTAACTTAATGATTTTGTTTTTCTAAAAAAATCTCTCCTCACTAGATTATTAGCTTCACAAGGGTGGGGTACTTATCTGTTTTGTTCTATAATGTGTCCCCAGTGCCTACAACAGTGACTGGCAGATAGTAGATACTCAGTAAATTTTGGTGGGACGAGGAAATAATTAGGAGATGGAGACAAAATGTAATCAAGTTTTAAATTATGTGAAAAGGCTGCATAAAAATAGGGATTCTGGATAGAGATAGATGCACATGGTCTATATGTAGAGCTGGATGGAAACTTCATCCAGTAATCTGACTTCTCCTTTAAAAGTAGGAATCCCTGCTGCAGATATTTGTTTGCCACCCAGAAAAAAGGTAAGTAAAAGAAATAAAAGTAGAAATAGCGTCCAGATTAATATTTCTCACTTGCATCAGAACCTCGAGTTCACTTATTAAAAACAGAGAATCTTGATAGCCTGACTGCCGAATCAGAATCCAACTCCCATGCAAAGAAATATGCATCTTTAGCAAACAGTTCAAATGATTCTCTTGAACCCTACAATTTGAAAACTGCCAGTCCTGAAAGAAGGTGATACAACCTCTAACTGAATACCTCTCTAGTGATGAAGAACTTGTGCTACCACAAGATCAGCTTCTATTTTTGTTAGCTTTTGTTGTTAAAAAATAATTATTCATCAAGATGCAATCTGCCTCCTATAATTTCCAATCATTGGTCTCAGCTGTACTCATTAAAGTCACATGGTACCATTTTTTTTTCCTCCATGTGACAACTCTTCAAATGTGTGAAAAGTTCTATAAAATTTCTTCTCTGAGCTAAACATTGCTTAGATGCTCTTATTTTTGTAGTTGTTGGTCTTCATTGGCAGAACCGCCCAAGGTCTATCAGTTACTCTGAGGTTCCTCTGTGGTGCCAGAGGAACATGGCACCCAGAAGACAGAGTAAGCGGTTGAGGAATCTGCAGGTAGACTTCTCTTCCTTCCACTCAGTACAGCTCACCACAGCCCACTCCTTATCCACACCTGAAGCCACTGTATGTTATTTCCTCATTAGCCCTTGATGTTCAGTCTCAGCAGACTCATTGGACGGGAGAAGGAAAGACTTGCTCATAGATTGTGGATTCCAGTCTCTACATTATTCTTAACACTCCTGGAAAGTTCTGTATTTCTCAACATCCATCTTAAAATGTGTCTCCTAGAACAAGCTAGTGTAGTAGTCATCGACACCTAAGTCATACAGTCAGACTTCCCCACTAATTAACTGTGCAACCTTGGGTGATTATTGTTTCGACTCATTTAGCCTCCATTTGCTTTATGTCTAAAACAGAAAAAAAAAGTACTACCTCATATGGTTGTGGGAATTAAGTCTGGTAATATAGGTAAA